AATTCGAATCTTTGAGCTATAGTACGGGGGGTATTCTGAATCGAATCTTTGAGCTATATAGTACGGGGGGTATTTTGAATTCGAATCTGTGAGCTATAGTATTGGGGGGTACTTTGAATTCCCGCGCAAAAAAAAATAAATGGTATAGATTCGAATTTGTCGTTTTGCAACGATGATCGAAATGTTTTGGCGGGAAATTTCTCTCTTTCTCCATTTGCCTTGATAAACCATGGATCAGATATTAAACTGATCAGAACAGATGCATTGCACTTGGTCTTACTTAGCCAAAAAGCCAAGAAAGTTATGTTGGATTGGATTGGATGCGTCAAAATTTCACACCTGTGATTATGTTGTCAAAATTCTGAATTGTAATGAAGGCATTTACTCATTTGGGGCATTTAACTTCGATGTACCTGGCCGCAATTTCGGGAATTTTTGAACTGAAATCCGACAGGGCTTATCGGGTTTCTGCCAGTAGGACCTGACGATTTTTTTGGGTTCAAAACGCGCCGCAATTAAATTGCGGGCAGGAACGTCAAAGTTAAAAATGCCCGAAGGGGTAATTACTAATTACTAATTATATAGAAGAATAACTTAATGCTGAATTCGGGTAATTACTAATTATAGAAGAATAACCTAGGCTACCAGCCGGGCCGCCCGGGTCACCTTGTTTGCCCGGACGGCCCGGCCGTGCGACGGTCAAAGAAGGCCCCAGCAGAAAAAGAAAAGGAGAAAAAAAATATAAACATCTGGAAAAAAAACTATGTTACGCAGAAAATAAAGTGAACAACTTTTGCCTCCGGGTCACATCGAAATTCGTTACGAAAATTTAAATAAATATAAAAGTTATAAAAATATTTTTTATTTTTTATTTTTTGTAAAAACAAATTGCCCGGCCGGGCAAGTGGTCTCCGGCCAGGCCACTCTGGTAGCCTAGAGAATAGCATAATTCTGAATTCGGGTAATTACTAATTACTAATTATAGAAGAATAACATAATTCTGAATTCTAACTGAGGCATATATTTATAGAAGAAGAGTTGACAGTTTTTAGCCTATTACTGGGAGATAGGGGGGAAGGGGGCGGGGGGGTGTTAAAGCACCAGTACAAGACCCCAGCCAAGTTGAGAGTCCGATTGACCCTCTCCTAAAATTTCGGACCTAAAATTTCGGATAAAATTTTGGAGGCTCTTGCATGCCGTCCACATGCCGTCCACATGCCGTCCATGACATATACGTAGACGGCGGGGGGCCTCCGAAAGGGGGGGACGGCCAATTGCTGGCATGCATGTAGTGGTGGTGTGAATTTTTTAATAGTAGAGTTGAGATTTTGGAGATGGCGCTTTTCTTGGGGAGCTCATGGTTCATTTGTGGAGCTGATGATCTTATTGCGAGGATTTGGCGATGGCGCTTTTCTTGGGGAACTGATGGTTCATTTGTGGAGCTGATGATCTTATTGCGAGGATCTGGCTCGTCGGCAGGCCTAAGGGGCCCCTTATACAAGTGTGCCCGCCCAAAGTGAAGGCGGGCCTAACAAATCACGAGAGGCCCAAATTCCGCCCAATGCTGTCAATTTCGTATCCGGGGTTCAGGCAGTTGTGCTGGGTTAGTTGGTTGAGGGAACGCAGGTCCCGAGCAACAAAAACTTTCCTCGGCCTTCTAGGCCTTTTCTGGCCACATTCACAGGAATATATACACAGACAGTTGGGAGGCGCAACTGAACGAGGCCCAGCAGCAGCGGCAGAGGCCCAGCTACCTGGGGCCTACCGGAAGCTTCTGGGCGCAGGGGCAGGCCCAGCCCAGCCAGGCCGCAGGCCAGGCCGGACTCTTTCCATATAGGAAAGAGCTCGCTGCCTGGAAAATCAAGTGCCAGCACTGCTGGAGCGAGCACTCGCGGGCTGCTGCTAGCGCAGGGGCAAGGTGATGTGCACGCGCAGTTGTGTGGGAAGAAGGGCACTCCTGAGGGCAGTGCCATAGCCCAGCTTCCATAGCTGGCTGGGCATCAGCAAGGTGCGGTGGTGGTCTTCGGGTGTATAGAGGGAAGACAAGGGAGAAAGATGAGGGAGAGAGAGAGAGAGAGAGAGAGAGAGAGAGAGAGAGAGAGAGAGAGAGAGAGGTAGAGATGAGGATGAGGATGTGAGGGCTCATACCTGGTATTGGCGATGGTCAGTACTGGGCGACATCTTCATGTACTTCGGTGGCTGCTGACGTCAACAGTTGCATTGTCAATTCATAGGCAGATGGTAGCTGCATGGGGAGTAGTCTGGGCGCCGAGCGCCAAGTAGGGGGAAGGGCCTGGACTCTTATGTTGGTGATGAATGACGCGAGTGAGATCTCTTTGACACTCGGTTTCAAAGTTTCGATTCTCCATTATTGTAACATTGGTGCAATGCTGCTTTCTGGGTACTGTGAGACTTTCTGGCTTTCAATGTGATCGTATAATCTGGATTCTGCCATCTCGCTATTTCTCATTTTCCTTGCATTATCCATAGTGAGTAATGAGTAATTACTAATTAATGATCTAATGCACGTGGAGCATGGTTGGGGGGACCCGGACCCTGACACAGTGGGATGTCCAGCCAGTCGGACGTCCAAAAAAATCCGGGAAAAAGAAAAGAAAAAACAAACAGGTTACAGAAAGTTTACAGGCAGGAGGTGAATTAGGCCATACCTACCTCAAGGCAGTATCCAGCCTGTGCACCTCTCTCTCTCTCTCTCTCTCTCTCTCTCTCTCTCTCTCTCTCCCTCTCTCTCTCTCTCTCTCTCTTTGTCTGTGTCTCTGTTTGTCTGTGTCTACGTGTCTGTCTCTGTCTGTCTCTCTCTCTAAATCAGAAAGCCTGGCCCTCTTTGGCTTTCTGAAAGGGCCAGAAAATAGGTAAACAATCCCAAAACAATTTTTTTTGGGGGGTGGGCCTTGAACAACCAAAAACAAAAACAACCAATAATATATATTTTAAAAAAATTCCGGCCCTACCGCACCGGACGTCCGCTTGGATATCCAGACACGGATGGTCTGGACTGGGCTCGGGACGTCCGCATCGTGACCATGACGTGGAGGTTTGATCTGCTTTCACAGTTTTTGATTGGCGAACGAACCACACATGGAGGGGGTATCTTCTCTAACATTCCTAGTATTTTCCTCCTCGTCCCATCGGCATTCGAGTTCATGGTCTGTTTACTAAATACTTAGATGTGCGTACCATTCAGCCACATGAGCCTGGGATGTCTATAGTCACTAGAATGTCCTCGAGGCTATAGTCCCAGGAACATTTAGTAATCTAAGTAGGAGGACTTGGTGTTTACTTTCCAGTGTTCGAGGAGTGAATAGGCTTTGAGTGCTGGGATGTCTATAGTCACTAGAATGTACTCGAGGATATAGTTCCTTGAAAAACAAGGCTATACTCCCTGGAATGTTCCCTGGAATGGCCCCCAGGCTATAGTCCCTGGTATGTTCCCCGAGGCTGTAGTCCCTGGAATGGCCCCAATGCTGGAGTCCCTGAATTAGTCCCGGGTATGTCCGCTGAAGCCATAGGCCCTGTGATGGGTCCCAGGCTATAGTCCCAGGAGTGTTCCTCTGAGGCTACAGTCCCTGGAATGTCCACCGAGGCTATACTCCCTCCAATGCCCCTGATGCTATAGTCCCTGGAATCGCTTCGAAACGTCTACCGAGGTCTGTAGTCCCCGGGATGTCCCCCGAGGTCATAGTCCCCGGGATGTCCCCCGAGGTCATAGTCCCAGGGATTTCCCTGGAGGCTATAGTCCCAGGGATGTCCCTGGAGGCTATAGTCCCTGGAAAGACGAGTCTGTAGTGCCTGGAATTTCCCTCGAGGCTCTAGTCCCCGGAAACACGAGTCCATAGTCCCTGGAATTTCCCCCGAGGCTATAGTCCCTGGAATGTTCCCTGAGGCTATAGTCACTGGAATATCTCCGAAGGTTATTTTCCTCGGGAACACCAGGCTATAGTCCCTGGAATTTTCCCGGATGCTATATTCTTTGGAATGTCTCCTTGGCTGTAGAGCCTGGGAATACCGTTTTTTAAACTTTTTTTCCCTTTCAGAACCGCTCTGGACTATAGCAGGGGGGCTGCACTTTTGCAGGGACTACCGTTTTTAGGGGGGCTACACTTTTGCAGGGACTACCGTTTGCAGGGGGGCTGCACTTTTGCAGTTCCCCTGTTGGAGTGACAATCCGCCCGGACCACAGGCTTTTTTTTTTTTTTTTTTTTTTTTTTGGGGGGGGGGGGGGGGGGGGGGGGGGGGGGGGGGGTTGTGTTTGGGTTTTGTCCACAGTGATTGTCCCGATTTTTTTCAGGAGGTATTACTAAAGTGGTGGTTGAAGGGAACAAGTAAGAAGGTGAGGTGACCCGGGGTGTAAGTGGTCCCCACACACAAGAAGAGAAACCGCAGGACAGCCTGGTGGCTATTATGGTTCTTCTTTCCCTTCCCCCTTTTCCCACTCCCCTCCCCCCCCCCCCCCCNCCCCCCCCCCCCGCTCCCCCCTCAAAGAAAAAAAAAGCCTTCTCACACGCACATGCACCAGAAGAGAAATTAGTGGTCATCTGAATAGAACGCACACTTTCTTGTATGTACAGTTATTATTGTTGAATGACTGAAAAAATGCCCGAAATACACGAAAGAAGCTCAAAGAACGCAATTTTCAGTCATTCAGCAATATTAACTGTAGGCAATTTTCAGTCATTCAGCAATAATAACTGTATGGATCAATTACCGTGCGTTTCTATTCGGGCGAAAAAACGGTTGTGTATGTATGGTGCAGACCAGCGAAGAGAAATTGCCGAATTGGAAGAAAAGAGCAAACTGAAATAAAAAAAGGTCAAGGTAAAGGCGAAGGTTTTACTCTTTTGACTCGCTTATTGAGTGAGTGATAGTTCCTGGTATATTCCATGAACTATCGCGTGATTTACTGAACATGTGTCATTCATTGGTTGTAATTTGGAATTCTCGGAGTGCAGGAGATTCGTTGCGTTGCTATTTGGAAGCAGAGGAGTCAATGCGTGTCGCGATGCTGCCAATTGTTGCTGCTATCGACCAAACCCTATTCTGCAGGTCAGAAATGTCAGAAATTGAGTAATTGCGTACTCTTTGTCTATGTACATGTGTTACGTCACGTCAGGCACGTGGATAAAAGGTACCTGCATTAAAAAAAAAGAAAAAAAGAAAAAAGAAAAAGAAAAGGTACCTGCATTCTCATTGAAGAGTCTGAGCTACTCTCGTTCACTGGCACTACCATCTTTGGCCAAATAGAAATGCACGGTCATGCTCGCTGTATCATGGTAGACTTTCAGTCTAGTTACGGCGATGATGATCCTGCAGTCTATTTGGGGGGAAGTGGTGAGTCTGCGGTAATACGCTCCATACCGAGATGGTTGCGATGATGATCCTGCAGTCTATTTGGGGGGAAGTGGTGAGTCTGCGGTAATACGCTCCATACCGAGATGGTTGGCAGTACACTTTTGTGCATAATCTGCTGCCTGATTTTCACTTACTTTTTTTCTGTGGGGAATTCTGGATTTGAACGCGGAGCCGGATCTTTCTGAGTCTTCTGAGTCTAATCTCCAAAGTAGATTTCAGGTCTTCCCTCCCTCCTCCTCCTCCTCCTTCTTTGTCTTCTTCCTCTTCTTCTTCTCCTCCTCCTCCTCCTCCTCCTTCTTCTTCTTCTCCTCCTTTTTTTTTTTTTTTTTTTTTATAAATTTGGACCATTTCTCGATTTATGCGTGTCATCCTTGCGCAGGGGCCATGCTAATCTTCTCTGTATCGTTCCAATTTTAACGGATGTCCCGAAGGACTCCTCCTCCTCCTTTTGTATGTTTGTCAGGAGTAGATTTTGAATACCTGAACTGATTTTTGTCAGTGAAGCTATGGCTGGACCAATCAGTACTCCAGTGGTGGTATACCTGACTTAATGATTACACTCATCTCAATGTACAGATAACACCCATCAATGTTTCCTTTTTTGAAGTATTGAATCATGATTTGCATTGTTTCTATCATGGAGGAGACTGTGGAAGGTTAACTTGCCAGCATCAGAGTCCATTCATTGGGTTTATTTGCTTAACTACCGTCTTCACCTGAATAGAATGCCCGGTTATTATAGCTGCATCTGGACAGAAAATGGCCCCAAATATGGCTATAATGACCGGGCGTCGTATCCGGGTGAAGACGTTAGCAGCATTGAAGTATGTATCCTGAGATGCACTGATCATAATCCATGCATCTCTCTCTCTCTCTTTCTGTGTGTGTGTGTGTGTGTGTGTGTGTGTGTGTGTGTGTGTGTGTGTGTGTGTGTGTGTGTGTGTGTGCTTGTCATACCGTTTGAATAGCACGCATATGAAGTTTCGTTGGTTGTCAGTTGGCGCTTGGCAGGCCTGTTTTCGTGGTCGACCTGGGGAATTTCTCTGACTTGTGGGATTTTGTTCTCTTTGGTGTATTGTTTGTTATTTCTGTCCTTGACAGATTTTCTATCTTTCGCTCATTGGAGGAGCATACTGGGTTCTTGGAATATGTGCTTTCCCCTACATCCCAGGCCCTTTCCTGTCTTCTTTGCACAGGTTTGGGTGAAGGTCTGACCTCTGTGTCATTTTTTTGCAGTTCTCTCTCTCTCTCTCTCTCTCTCTCTCTCTCTCTCTCTCTCTCTCTCTCTCTCTCTCTCTCTCTCTCTCTCTCTCTCTCCCGCCACCCCCTCTCCTCCTCTCTCTCATTAGTTCTTCCTCTACTGTTGCACGTTGTACCTCCCCTTCTGAACATCAGATAGGATCAAGCCCCACTACCGTTTTTCTGCAAAAACAATGGCACCCTCATCGCCAATGTATGCAGGTGATCTTTCCGGTCCTATACGGTAATGATGAGGGTTGTGTTGTGTTCGCAGGAAGATGATATCAGTGCTATGTTTGTCCCAAGAGCGAACCCAGACAGTTCATTGACTAGGTGCGTTGTTCCTTAGCATGGACACATAGCACCAGCTAGTGTGGCTCGTAGAATGATGCTATGACCAAACCACCGGGCAACTTTTGCAAACCAGCTGGACAACTGCTGCAGGCCGCAAGGACAATATTTTTCTACGGCACTCTGCCCAAGTGGTTCAGATGGCCCTCTCTCTGCCCCAGTTGGTTTCGAATCTTGTCCGTGCGGCTTGCAGCAGTCGCAGGGACAAATGGCAGCTTATGTGCAGATGGTTTGCGCAATACCTTCGCAAGTTTGCAGGCATTTGTCCCTGCGGCCTTGGCAGCACTTGACAGCCATTTAGATAGCTGACTTGTCCGTATCAATCAATCTGCATTCTCTCTCTCTCTCTCTCTCTCTCTCTCTCTCTCTCTCTCTCTCTCTCTCTCTGTGTCTCTCTCTGCATGGTTTGGAATGATGTCCGTGCGGCCCTGGCTTGGCAGCAGCTGTCCAGGTGGTCCAGGTGGTTTGGTTTGTGACAATTTGTCCAGGTGGGGTTCACAGCAGTAGTGCGGATGGTTTGCATTGATCTCTGGATGGTACGGAGATGGTTTGAATTGTTCTCCGGATGGTGTACAGATGGTTTGCATTGTTCTCTGGATGGTACGGAGATGGTTTGCATTGTTCTCCGGATGGTTTAAAGGTGGTTTGCATTGTGCTCTGGATGGTACAGAGATGGTTTGAATTGTTGTCCGGATGGTGTAAAGATGGTTTGCAGTGTTCTCTGTATGGGGAGAAGCCGGTTGGCACAGCTCCAAGGGATGGTTTACCGTGTGTTTAGAGTCTTTAGACCGTTCTTGTGAAACCTTTTCTTCGATCCTTTTCAGTTTTAAAGTTAAACCACTAGTACCTTTGGACGGTGGGAAAATAGCGGGCCTCCGGTGGGCCTCCGACCTTTTCGGAGGCCGAAATGGAACGACGGCCGCCGATCAGTTTTATCAATGGCAGCCGTCATCGGGCCCAGCCTCCGAAACTTTAGGAGGTTGGGAAAACGTCCACTTTTCCCTATTTTCCCACGCGCCAAAGGTACTAGTGGTTTAAGCAGTTAAAACTTGAAACTCTCCTTCTTCGAGTTTTGCAGGAAAGTCTTCTTAAGTTCTCACACATCAAATGGTTTGGGAGAGAGGATAACTTTCCCTCACTCTAAAATTGAATAAATATAAATATTGTAAATCCAATGGTTCTGTCCCTCGGGACATCCTTCAAAATTGGAGCGATACAGAGAAGAGTAGCATGGTCCCTGCACAAGGATGACAATCATAAATCGAGGAATGGTCCAAATTAAAATAAATAAATAAATAAATAAATCCAATGGTTCAGGATCGAGCAAAAACGTCCGTACGGAGCCAACGGTGCAGGATATCTTTACGATAGAAAACGAAAAAGTTACGACAGAAAAAGAAAAAGGATATCTTTACAATAGAAAAAGAAAAAGGATACCTTGTTAATTGGTTCAGGATAGAGGATATAGCTTGGTCAGAATAAAATTTTATAAATCCAATGGTTTAAGTCTTTAAGATACAGGATTTTTTTATTTTATTTTTATTATTATTTTTTACTAAGAAAAAATCCAGTGGTTCAGGAGAGAGGACTGTAAACTAAGTGCTCACTGCTCAGAGATTTCTTTTTTTCTTCTTCTTTTTTTTTTTTCCCTTTTTTTTGTCATAAAAACGCCCAGGTTGTTGTAGAGGCAGGGTATCAGGCGCAGGACAGCTCTCCGGAATTCAACCACTCGAAGCTCTCGGAGGAGGGACCACACTAGGTCCTCTGGACCTTTCCTAGACGGAGGGAGACACCCCCCTTTCACTAAGAGGGGGGCACATGGTTCAAACTGCAAATCCTCCTCTTCCTGAAGCTTTGCAGGAAAAAAATTCTCACAGATCCGATGGTTGAGGAGATTTCTCACCGATCCAATGGTCCAGGAGAGCTTGCTCACACACAGATCCATACTATAGTTGCTGTTGTTTTCTTTCTATAAAGAGCGACGAATTTGAGGTATCGTCATTGAGCTGCCCGGCGCAGGGAATTCATAATTATTATTCTTTTAATTTGTCCATCTGATTGCATCGGGATTCGGACTTGGGTCTGTGTTTCAACAGTTCATGGGCGTACCAACTGAGCTAGGCCCGTTTGTTTTGTTTCTGTTTTTTTTTGGTGTTTTTTTTTTTTTTTTTTTTTTTTGTGTGTTTTTTTTTTTTTTTTTTTTTTTTTTTTTTTTTTTTTTTTTTTTTTTTGTGTGTGTGTGTGCGCGTGTGCCATGTTCTGTAGATACACAGCTCCCCTGATGGTGTCACTGTGCTTGGCAACGTTCTATGTTGCATGCTTCTCTGATCCAGGGGTAATAACCCCAGCAAATATCGGAAAAAATAAGTCTATTTTCCCTTATGACGGCACCATTTATCGGGAGAAGCCATGCAGCACTTGCAATTTACCCAAGTAAGTATGCTTCTTCCTTTTTTGGGTAAGTTGGTTAGATTTTCTCCCATGCCCTCTCTCTCATCCTTACCTCTCCCCTGTCTTCTCTCTCTCTCTCTCTCTCTCTCTCTCTCTCTCTCTCTTGGGTAAAGTTGGTTACATTTTCTCACATGGTATCAGTTGTCCGGCAGTTGTTGGTGCTTAATACCCACAACTGGGGTGAAGGTGGATTATCATTTACGGTATCATTGATTGATCAGGGGACTGCGCAGACTGCAGAGGGTGCAGCCTCCTCAAAAGTCAGTGGAACTTCAACGAAACAGTCTGTCACAGCCCCTCACTTGTTGTCCTCTTCTCACTCTCTGCCTACGATTCACCGGAATAGGAGTAAAGAACAAGAAACGTGCGGCTGTGACAGACTATGTTGGTGGAGTTTCACTGATTCATTGGGGTGCTGGACCCTTACACAGTCGCCTTAACCCGAGCTGCAGCTGCAAATGGCTGGGGTGCTGGACCCTTACAGTTTGCACAGTCGCCTTAACCCCCGTTGCAGCTGGGAATGACTGTGTGAGGGTACGTAGTCTAGACTTGTAGAGCAAGTGCCATCTTTATATGCGGATTGTTGAACTTGTGGTGTTCTTCCTGGTTTTTACTTTCTGATTATTGTTGTTCTCATTCTCATTCTCGTTCTCATTCTTGTTCTCATTCTCATTCTCATTCTCTTTCTCGTTCTCATTCTCATTCTCCGTTCTCATTCTCCGTTCTCGTTCTCATTCTCGTTCTCATTCTCCGTTTTCATTCTCCGTTCTCATTCTCCGTTCTCCGTTCTCGTTCTCGTTCTCGTTCTCGTTGTTGTCAGTTCTTGGCGTCGTTCTCCTTTTGCTTGTTTGTTCTTGTTGTTCGTTGTTGTTGTTGTTGTGGCGGCGGTGGTGGTGGTGGTGGTGGTGGTGTTATTACTTTCTGATTATTGTTGTTGGTTTGTTGCTCTCGTTCTCTTTCTTCTGTTTCTTCTCTTTGTTGTTGTTGTTGTTGTTGTTGGAGGATAGGCCTGCAAGGTCCAAGCACTGCAGTATTTGTAATGTCTGCGTGTCACGGTTTGATCATCACTGCGTCTGGATGGTGAGTTTTTTTTTTCAGAGAAGAACTCACTCTGTTTCTAGGCCAGCTCAGAACAATCTTACGGTTTCGTTTTCTCCTCCGCTGGTGATGACGATTTTGTACTTTGTGCATTCCTCACACTGTTGATGTTTTGCAATGACTAAGACTTCACCGCACCCTGTTGAACTCGATTGAAAAACTGTGCACGTGTGTCTGTGTGTGTGCGTGTGCGCGCTCGCCGCTCGTGTGTGTGTGCTGTCTCTTATACACATCTAGATG